AAAATGGATCATTATTAAATTTCAAAAAAGAATATCGTCGAATATGGGAAAAATTCTATGTTTATCCAGACTCACGCTTCAAAAATACACGACTTATCCTTGATACAATATTAAATCGTACATTACACAGTCTTTTGCTTCACAAAAAGCCTAAAAGAGATATGTTGACCAGAATGCAACCAACGGTAGATATTTTGCACTTTCTGACCGTCTAATCTAAGTTAATAAAAAATCTAATAAATAAAGTAGACAAGTATTGCTGATATATATATTTACTGATATTAATAAAAACTAACTATCCGGTTGGCGCATAAGTTCTGCACGTTTTTGTTTTTTGGTTCAACAGTAAATTTATTTTTCAACAAAGATATACAAACATCAATCAGCAATATAATCGCCATTGTTTTCAACAACATTCGCCCATCTTTCTGACAATAGTTCAATTCCACGTCTGTAGAAACTAGCCGGTTTTGATTCGAAAAAGGCAGTCAGGTCGGATTTTAGCTCATCAAAGTCTTCATAGTGTTTATTGCACAAATAGTTACGAAGAGATAGGAACAGATGATAATCGGTTGGTGAGAGGTCTGGTGACCACGGCGGGTGTGGAAGAACTTCCCATCCTAACTGTTCGATTTTTTGCTGAGTCAACTTTGCCACATGAGGTCGACTGTTGTCATGAAGAAGGATGACGTCTTTTTAATTCGCCAAAGTCGGTCGCTTTTGAAGTGGAACTTCATTCAATCGCTGCAATTGTTGAGAGTAGACATCGGCGGTAATCGTTTCATTGATATCTAACAACTCGAAATAGATGACACCGCTCATATCTCACCAAATGCACAGCATTATCTTCTTTGGATGCAAGTCGGGTTTCACATCCGGCAATGGTTTTTGATCAGGATCAAGCCACTGCCTTCTACGATAGACATTGGTATAACACACCCATTTTTCATCTCCAGTAACAATTCGTTCTAAAAATGGGGTGTGCTTCTGTCGGGAAAGTAGTGAAGCACAAATCGATGCTCGCTGAGCGAAGTTGTCTATGGACAATTGGTGTGGAGACGAACTTCCGTATTTATGAACCTTGCCGAGTGGAAAACCAACGGCGACAAGTGGAACTGTCGATGGCTTCCTCCCCATATGTATCACAAATATTTCTTGCTGCTTCGGCTGCTGTTGAGCGTCGATCGAACTCGTAGAGCATACAGTGCCGAACATGAATTTTTTGTTCATCCATTTACTTCGAAACAAGATAACAACAGAATAGAAGAGGATATGTGTATTTATATAACGATCAGAGTCTCACAAAATACAAAATACGCAATCGGAATATTATTACGTAGTAAGCAGGAAAGATCAAGGTCAATATCGATGTTTGTTTGACCTTGAGAGAACAGAAATAAATGTATAGTAGTGAGATGAAAGAAAACAGAAGAACGAAAGAAATACATATATAACGAAAAGAGAATATCTTTGTTGAAAAATAAATTTGTTGTTGGACCAAAAAACAAAAACGTGCAGAACTTATGTGCCAAGCTAATACAATGCCATTTTTTATTTCTTCATTAGTATAAAGCTTATGAATTGACGAGCAGAGAAGGGCAGTTGGTTCAATAGGTGGTTCTGAACCAAGTAAATTGATTCCATTATAAAACTAAAAATATACAAAATTGAAGATGTGAACATTTATATCACCAGTATACCATTGGTGGAATATCAGCAGAAGGAGTTGTTACTACATTCTTTCATAAAATAATAAACAAATAATAAAACAAAAGCTATTCTTTGAAAAAAAGCTCACTAGTTTTTGATGACTTAATATTGTTAATTGTGCTTCATATATTTTATCTAATACTTTCATCATTGAATTTCGTTGAGTTCGTAATTATTTTACATTATTTTCTAATAATTCGAGTCGAAGATTTATTTTTTCAATAGCACCACGAATATCAATATCTGTTGATACATCTTCTTTAGCTGGACATTTTCATTTCTTTTGTGAACAATTAGCTACAAAAGAATCTATAATGTAAAATATATTGATATTCGATAATTTGTCAAGTTTCAGATTACTTTTAAGAATAGCTGCAGGTGTTGGTGTTGAGGGCTGTATAAATTTTTGTGCAGATGGTTGACGACGATATGGTTGTGGTATATAATAATGAACAGCAAAAGGTAAAGTAATACATGAGAGGGAAACACGTAGTTGTGTTGCTTTCCATTTGCCAGTAGATTCTATATCAACAGGATGTCGTTTTATAGTGTGAGGATATTTGATACTAAGTAAAAGCCGATTCATTTGTATATGTACTGGTTTAGGAAAAATTGTTGTCCGTTGATTTAGTAAGAATACTAGATGAATTTCCAAAGTTAGATGAAAATAATCTAGGATCGATTGAACAGGAATTGAAATAAGTGGTGGTAGTGGTGATTGTCCATAGACTTAGCAAATTTTAAAATTTTTTGGTTTTGAACTTTCTATTTGTGCAACACAATGACTTTGGTATTGTTGAGTACGTGGTGGTGGACAGGTTTCTGTATAATCTTTATGAGGATACAATACGTGTTTGTGTTTTGTACGAGAAACTTCAGTGAATAAGCAATATGTGTATGCGAAATAGCCATTGTGTGCTGTAATTTTATTACATTTTGCATGTGCAGGGAGATCACCACCAATAATAAAACATCAACTTCGAATCGTGTCAAACCTTAACAAAAAAAGTTCCAAGAAAACTAGATGAGGACAACAAAAACAGAAAAGAATATTTGCTAAACACTTTAGACTCATAAAACTCTTGTCGTACTTATTCTCTATTTTTTTTAAATTAAAACCTCAATTACCTTCACCGCCGATGTCAATTAATAAATCACCACTTTGTAAAACCATAAGATTATGAACAATACATGATAATAAACGATCAGGATCTGGTGTAATCGTCGAATGTCATAAACCAAACAACATCATATTTTTATCATATTTACTCACAGGATGACGTATCTCTGCCAGAGCAGCCACTACCTACAAAAAAGCATAATTAAAAAAACAGAAATGAAATAAAGCAGAAATTATAATTGCACAGCAGCCGTCAACTTAAGGAAAGAACAGTGTTACTCACAGGTCAAATAGAGGAATTAGTTGATATAGTTAATGGTTTACTATCTGTTGATAACATTAAACTTAAGCAATTTTTCGAGGATTTAGTTCGATAAAAATTCCCTGTAAGAATACAAATCAAAAAGTAGTTTGCTAATACTATATTAGAGAAGATTATAATTACCAAATAAAATGTCATATGGTAGACCATTTTCAGGATTTTCTTGATACCATTTTATAAGATGATAATTTTTAATAGTAATTGAACGAATTTCATTAGCAACATCAAATAATATTAATTCTGAATTAATTTTACGCATTTGATTTTGACATTCATTATTGGAACATCTTTGTTTGATATGTTGTAATTTTTTAGAACATGATGAACAATAGATTATTGTTTTATATAAAAATTTTACATTTAAATCATTCCAAAGTTTATCACAATTATTTGGAATTTCTCTGAAAAAAAAGGAAAAAACAATTTAATAACAAAATAATACAGACACAGTTGATGTATTCGAGTTGAACAATATGTACTATTTAGCATCTTACTTTGCGGATATTCCTCGAATTAGATTAAGTAAAGCATTGTTATTTGTTTTATTCATATATGCATCTCGAATAAACAGAGCTATTTTTATTTTCAGTTGAGTTTCAGGTGAATATCTGGATAATGGATAAACTTCTTCATGTGCATCTAGATCATCCATCTGCATCATCTAAATTTCATTGTCGAAATCTATCACAAAAAATCTTATATTTATTTGAAACAACATTATAATAATATATAAAGGTCAACCATTGATCACCTATATGAAATTTATTTCTTTCTTATTTAAACTTTTATAGTTTAAAAAAAGGAAAAAAAAATTTTTTTATGTTTATTTAGTACATCATGTTATGTGAAATACATGAAAATGATAATAAATAATAGAATTTTTTGTTTTTCCTTTTAATTTCATTTTTCTTTTTTTATTTATGTCGAATTTTCGATCTTTTTTTACGACCATCATCAGGACGTTGGCCATGTGATACATTGTATCATTTGACCAGACTTGATATTGATAATCATCATATTAATTTAATCATAGTTGTTGTTGAACATCATATAATAACCACCATAAACATAATGTTGACCAACATACCACGCACCATCTTGAGCTGATTTATTCACCAGAAAATCCTATACCATCATGCCGATGTTAAACCATGCCATATACCACCATGTCAATGTTGACCATCATAGGGTAAATTGCAAGAAATTTAATTCCAACGTATACTTGATTGTATGATTCTCTAAATAGAGAAAGGAAAAAACACCATGTTCAATTGTTGCTTGTCAATGAATATATAGATATATAATAATAATATAAAACATGGATTTTTTTATAACAAATTCGATATAAATTAAAAAAGAAAAATGAAATTAAAAGAAGAAAGAAAAAAAATTATTATTTATTACTATTTTCATGTATTTCACATAACATGATGTATTAAATGAACATAAAAAATTTTTTTTTCCTTTTTTTAAACTATGAAAGTTTGAATAAGCAAGAAATAAATTTCATATAGGTGATCAATGGTTGATCCTTATATATTATTATAATGTTGCTTCAGATAAATATAAGATTTGTTATAAAAAAAAAATCCATGTTTTATATTATTATTATATATCTATCTATCACAAAAAAGACGAATAATTTTCAATCTATCTTGTAATACCTAACTTTAGCCTTTGATTATGTCCATCAACATCTCAAGATAACAGCAAATATTACCTTCATCAATAACAACATCATTATCTTCAATAAATGTTTCACCTTCTTGCACATTTATTAATTTAAAATTTTTTTGTTGATTATCAGGTTTCAATGAATCAAATTGTTGTTGATGCACCGACGAAAATGAACTATAAAGACCACGACGATACTTTTCTTTGTTTTTGTTTATTGTTTTGATGTTCTAAAGGAAGAAGAATAGAGATATCTCGATGAACAACTTCTTTAAATACTCACGACGAACTAATTGTTGTTCATATCGATATTTACATTGGCTACCACATAGGTTTCTCTCCATTTGATAAATTGATGTAAAAAAAAATAAGCACAAAAAATCTACGCTTAGTCACAATCAAAAATGCTTATCGATACATAAATCAACACTTACTTATTTTAACACAGTATGAACAATTACTATAACAGACAATTCTTTGTAATAATGAAAATAAAAAAATGACCGTGCATGATATCATATGATACCATCCTTTGTAAGAAACCATTGATGATCTCCATTCTTCTTTCTCCTCCTAAAATATGTCACGACCTCTGCCGTATGCGTGATGAATCACAAAGAAACACGCTCGCAACACTTAGCGCGTGTGATGATACATCCCACCACATGCATCAAGCATGATAAGTGTGGCCTAATGCGTATATAGACTGTACGTATTGACTAGGGAATACAAAGAAAGATGTCGTTACATCAAGTCTATGGTTTTAGTTCGGTTTCACGATTATATTTGATCAGAAGAATTTAACATCATGAATAGTCTCTATCAATGGTATATATTTCATATGCTGCACATATGAGCATTTCAAAATAAGTTTCATCTTAAGTGCATCATTGGATCTTTCATTGGACATTGATTTGATGACTCATGAAAATGTGATCATAGACTATTAAATTATAAGCAAGGTCAATCTTTTTATCTCGACTCTGTTTTAAAATAATTTTTATTTAATGAAAGAATTACAAATATTCGATTGAAAATTAAATTATGATATTCGAATTGAATAAAATTATCATACATCTCTAGAACAACGTACAATTTTTTGTTTTTCTTCTTTGATTAACGTTCTTTCTTTTCTTTTCTTTCCAGTTCAAAATGATCTGATTATAAAAAATTGCATGTACCACTGAAACGAATACTGTAGTAAGATTATTTTATTCGTTTTTCTTCTGTCACTTGTCTTTTTCTTATATAAAATCTTTTTAAAATTATCTTTCTTCTATTAATAAAACCACTTAGATGAGTTGACTATGTGCTAATGTTGTATGTCTTGAGAACAGATTTTTAGGGATGTATGAAGTCGTACTGTGATTTGCTGATTGGTGGTCGTGTTTTATGACGAATAGCGCATTTTTTTCTGTGGATTTCGCATTTGTGGCCTTATTAGGTAGTAGGTTTGTTATTGATCATATGTAGTTTTGCTTTTTTGTATGGATGGCAGTATATGTTTGTTCTTTCATATTGTGGTATATTGTTCTTTTCTGGTATTTTGATTACATTTTCGTATGATTGGTGTAATTTATAATTTCATTGTCTCTGCTGCATAGTGAATGGGGTTTTTGACATACATTTTGTTCAGATGGCATCATAAGGATTTTTTCGTAGGTGTTTATAGGATTATACGTGTGTAGGTAGCGTCTTCTTCTTTTCTCTTATTGTTAGTCATGCTGCCTAAATGGTCGTTTTGCTATCGTTTATTTTGGTATTGTCACTGTGGCTCTGCTTTCCTTTCTTTCAGGTTGTTCTCTGGATTTTGTTTCGTTTGTTTATCGTTTGTGGGATTATTAAAAGGTTTTTTCCAAGGTTTGTGAGTATTCTATACTTATGGTTAGATTGTTGTGGAGAGAGAGAGATTGGGATTAGAGATAGAGACAGTTATGCAAATATAGTAGAAGTGGGATTAAAGTCTCACAAAGGTTATGTATCGTTGGTATGCATCCAGATACAGGTTTTTTGCATTTTTTGGATCTCTTTCTTGCATGTATTCTTCAGGAAGATCTCAGTATTGTTTTTTTGTGAGTTATTTTCCGTTTTTGATATGATATATATATGTATGCGTGAAGATAAGGTTTTTGTTGACTATAGATAGTGCATTGTTAGAGCGTTGTACTCCTTAGATGTTGTAGCGTGGGACGCTGTCAATTCCGTTGTTTGTAGTCTTTTATGATAGAAGTAACATTTTTTGTCCTTTATATTCTTGTGGCTCGTTCTGCGCTTTGATATGATATTTATGTTTGAGGTATGTTTCACTTTTTCAAATACCACATGCCTTAACTATTTGGATTGATACGTTGTTTTTTTGCTCACTTATTTGTGATGAAGAATTTGTTTTTCTTGTCGTTTTTATCTTTTTGTGTGCAGTACCTGACTACTGAAGTATCATCATTGTGTTTTCACTGTTGAAATCTAATAATGATTATAATGGTGCATTGATGTAAGGTTCGCAGCTCTATTTCCCAACTCGTTTTACTTTTTTGATTTTCATCTATATACTACTGTTCTTGCCAAAATGACTAAGTAATAACTTGCACTCATCGATATGTGCTGAATTATATAAAGATGAAAACTTTTTCTTCTGATAGTGAGTATGTGGAGGTACGACATGAGCAGATTACTTTAATACTATTTGCTTCACCTATCTTATCTGATAGAAATGTTTTCGCATCTTATGATACTGAACCTAATAGGGAATATTCAAATCTTGTTCAGGAAACATTGATAATCGCGCTTATGAGGATGGTATGTAATTTTTTTGTAGTGAGCAGCTCTTCCAACTAAATCACACAGTTTTTAGAACGATTTTGATTGCATCACATAAAGATGTCTATCTCTATAGTTCAATATTGTTTAAAAAAGTCTCTACAAATTTTATACTTTATAAATTTTATCCAAATTTTTATTATCATGAGATTGTTTTCTTTTTTTAGATCTTTCCTCATCATTAACTCAGCAACACAAGCTAATTGATAATCTTTGATACATTTATTATACGTCCTTTATCATATTGGTTTCTTTAATCATCGCACTATTATGCATTGTTATATAACAATCTCATAGGTTCACAAATCCGTCTTACCTAAATAGTTTTTTATGTTATAGATCGATTGTAACTTATTGGTATGTTATATTTAGAAGAATATCTTTTCACTATTATTTTTTCTTGTAGATCACTCTTCATCATTAGAGTCTTGTTTAATATTTAAATTATACTGTTTTAAGTATTCAATCTATTGGAATATTATATTTTGGAAAAAACTCGTTTCAATATTATTTTCACTTTTAGGCGTATCTGTACCGATGTCATTTCATTTTGTATTAAAATTATATTGTATTAATTGTTTAATCTATTGGTATGTTGTATGTAGAAAAAATATCTTTTCAATGTTATTTCTTTTAGATCTTTCTTCATCATTATCGTTGCATTCCTATTTAAATTATATTGTTTTAATTGTTTAATCTATTGGTATGTTGTATTTAGATATATATCTGTTCTATATTATTTTTCTTGCTAGGTCTTACTTCGTCACTGTCATTTGATTTCGTGTTAAAATTATCTTGCATTAATTATTTAATCTGTTGGTATTTTGCATTTGGAACAAAGATTCTTTCAATATTATTTTCTTTTTTAGATCTGTCTATATTATTTTCATTTCATTTCGTATTAAAATTATATTATTTTAATTGTTTAATCTATTGGTATGTTGTATTTAGAAATATATCTCTTGTATATTATTTTCTTTTATAGATGATCTAATATTTCTCTCATCTTCTGTTTAGTATTATACCATATACGTTCATTTTTTTTCATAAGTTCTACTTTGTCTCTGTTATTTTAATTTACATCGATTGGGTTTTTATATTGTCTAACTTTTTACAATAAATATTTTATTTAATATCGCAAACTATCAGTTCTGACTCTACCAATAATGAATCAAGTGCACTCAACATGAAAGTTCTTCCGTTATCAACTCAAACAAGATTTTTCTTTATAAAGCAAAATTATGGTCACACTGCTTATAAAACATATCAGTATTTTGAGAAAACTACGGTTAAACTAGTACGTCTCTGGTGTGACTTAAGTTATCTAAATGAATGTAGATGGAATAATCTTATGCCGAGATTTCTTCATTTTAAAGCTTCAAATCCTATGTTATTTTACACAGAAGCATAAATCAAATGCCAGCATATTCTCTTGAAAGAAGAAATTAACTTGAAAAAACACAGTATAAAAAATTTATCTATGTCAGTAAGGAAAATATATGATGCACTAGCAAATATTTTTCCACCTGATATTATGACAAAAATTAATGAAATTATTGATGAAATCCATTTTGAAGAAAAAAGTATTAAATATTGGGGGCATTGGAAAAAATTACAGACATTAATTAATAATAGAGATAAACAACAACAGAAAAAAAATAATAAACATAAATTTTTCATATACTAATTCAACCGAGCCGATGATAAATACAACTGATAAAAACACAACTGAACCAAAAATAGTATGGAATTTCTCGAATCGCAATTTAACTGAAGAAGAGCTTCGTGTATTAGAAAAAAGAATGTCTTACAACCATTCTTGCACAATTAATCGTCCTAAAGTAACCTCCAATGTTGAATATTTATTCCGTTAGACTTCTAAAATTCCAAAAGAATCAATTGATTTTAAAAAATGGGACGAAGATCCTGATGATATTGCAAATAAAGAAATTCGAGTTTTAGAACCAAAACAACTATCTCTCGCAGCAGAGTAAAAAAAGAATGCAACAGAAAAATTCTTCCAACATGCACAAATGTGAATTAAGATGAGAAAAGATAAAAATTTAAATGGAAATAATGATGACAAAATATTATTAAATTTATCCAAATATCCATCTGTTTTAATTACTAAACCTAATAAAGGTCGTGGTGTCGTAATACTTGATCGTAATGATTATACTGAAAAATTAGAAAACATTTTAAGTGATAATAAAAAATTTAAATTATTGAATGAAGATCCTACCATTTCTTGCGAAAACGCATTAACCACTGTTTTACGACAAATGAAAAACGAAGAATATTGGACACAACAAGAATATAAATATATTAAACCAGTAGGTTCTGTTCCAGCAAGATTATACGGCTTACCAAAAGTTCATAAAGATAACGTACCTCTCCGACCTATAGTATCATGCATTAAGTCATACAACTACAAATTAGGTAAATTTTTGGCTAATATCATCAAACCAATACGTGTTAGCCCTTATTCATTAAAGCATACCAATGATTTTTTTAAATTCATACAACAAAATTCACATTTATCTAGAAATAATAAAATGATTAGTTTTGATATACAAAGTCTTTTTACAAATATTCCAGTTCGTGAAACTATCGAAATTATCTGCAATAAATTGTATTGTACGGATCCAAAATTAAGACCTTTTATTCCTGAAGATTATTTTCGTAAATTATTAGAATTTGCTGCTACAGGTACTCATTTCCTCTTTAACAACAAATACTATGAACAATGTGATGGCGTTTCGATGAGTACACCTCTAGCCGCAATTTTTGCAGAAATATTTACGGCACATTTTGAAGAAAAATATCTACCAATCTTACTCAACAACAATGACTCAAAGTTACTCGTCTGGAGTCGATATGTAGACGATACATTCACAATTTATACTAACGATACAGACGAAGATGAAATTCTACAATTATTAAATACATTTCATCCGTGTATCAAATTTATGCTCGAACCTGAAACCAATAGTACCATACCATTTCTCGAAGTATTAGTAATACGACACAACAACGGTTTTGATACAACGATATATAGAAAGAAAACAACGACCAAACTCATGCTAAAATGGGACAGTAGTGAATCGAGCACTTAGAATACGTTCAAAACCTGACTTATTAAGTGATGAATTTGAGTATATTTGTACGACAGCAAACTTCAATGGTTATCCTGCTAAGTTTGTTCAACAAATAATAGAGAAGCAATCAGAGAAACTAAAACAACCGAAAGAGCCGTAAAACCAAATTCAACAAATACCATACGAAAATAAAAAATACAAGTACATTGAAATACCATACATCGGACAACCAAGTTATGTGTTTGCAAAGAGATTGAAATCTATCATCATAAAAAATGATCCTACATCAGATTTCAGAGTTATTTATCAAACAATAAACACAACAAAACACTTCTTTCCTACAAAAGATCCACTTACTAACCACCAAAAATCCGGCGTCGTATACTAAATAACCTGCAATAATTGCATCCAATATTATATAGAAAAAACGATAAGACAAGTCTATCGACGTCTTGATGAACATAAAAAAGATGTCGTAAAAGCTACCATGTGTCTCCAAAAGATCGTTTCTCTGACTCTATCACACCACAAAAACAATCAACGGAACAAACACATAATTCAGTGCTGTATTCAAAAGGAAACATCAAGTCAACAACAACGTCGTAGCAGTGGATTACTCAAAAAACAAACACAATCTAAATCACAAATCCAACAATACGAACAAGACATATACTTTTATAAACCTAATTCTGCTTTGGGTAAACACGTAAAAAACACAGGTCATTCAATATACTTTCAAAATGTCTATATAATTAATCAAGATCAAAACTCATACCGGCTCCTGATCAAAGAATCCATCGAAATCCGCGCAAGACAACCAACACTTAATGGCACTGATAAATCCGTTCCCCTATACGTGTTTCCTGAAGGATACAAAATATCAACCCATCCAGTCAAAAAAATACTGAAAATAAACAAAAACACTCTCTACCGCATTTCCAACAATTAAAGTAAATCAAAACAAGTACGTCCGTTTTTTTATTCTCCATACCGATTATTCTATCACTTCAGACAAATAGACATACTGTCAAACATTAGTCACTCCTCACAAAAAAAAAATAATCATTTATTCATTTCGTCCACTCATTTATCTGCACCCACTCAAACAACCTCTCTTTGAGTTACTATATCCTTATTGTTCTAAATCTTGTACGTCGAACAGCACAAACGAACACCAAAGCTTAGAGTAATATTAATAATGGCTTAATAAAACTTGAAAGCTCTATCACATATTAAATAAAATCAATTACTATATAATTTTTTTTAAGCATTATTACCGCTATGACTATGACCATTCTAAAGGGACAGTGGAGCTCAACAGTAGTTTGTACGAGCGTAAGGTGGAAACAAAAAAAAGAAAAAATGAACCAGTAGGCACAATAAAATAAACCTGCAACCGACTATGAAAAAAAGAAGGAACAAACGAACAAAAAACAAAAAGCAGGCCCAGTAATATAATGAAAAAAAAGAAATAAAAGCAGTAGATACCATGTTTTGGAGACATGAGCATGTGCGTATTCATTCTTTTTCATTCTTTCCTCTTCTTTCTTTTTGTTTCTTCTATACCCAGACTTTCATCCTCGCTCCACATTTATACGATGTTCTCCCTTCCTTTTTTCCTTCTCCTCATCTATCTATGATTCATTACTCGTCTCTTCTCCCTCTCTTGCTCTTCTCTTCATTTTTTTGTCAGCATGACCTTTTAACAACTTCTACTACATTTCACTAGCTCAAACTTACCGTAAATAATGCGAAACTCAAAAATTCTTCTTCATTATCATCTACTACAGAATCCAAAGCTCCCTGAAAAGTCATCCGTCTTCATGCTTGTCCTAGAACATCTATAGAAATTAACTTCATTTTTTCGATTTTATTTCGTTTTTACTTGAATTATATGTACAAGTCCTATTTCATTATTATTATTATTTTCATTTTATGATTATATTTTATTTATTGAAAAAAAAATCAATTCAGAGAAATCTTTTAGTTTGCATTCTCAAATTGTTGACAAATGTAAAGAACAAAATATTATAATTAACAAAAAAAATATAGCATAATATAATAATCATTGAAATATGTAAAAACCGAATTCTTTTATTTAACATACAGTAATTTGATTCTTTTCTTTTTAGTGCTAAAATAACTGAATCATATGCTAATTTAACAATGAATATTCAAACGAATTATCACATCTTTATGTATGATTTTTCTTTTTTCGTTGATTACTTAAGTGGTAAGAAGCGTTATTTATTATGAGGCTAGATCGAATCTTGATGAAATTTAAACTAAAACTGAAATTCAATTGAAAAACAATATCGAACGAAGATAATGGTTTGTGGATTTTTAAAAATAACATATCATTATTTTCTTTTTTTCGTCTAGTATCTGCTGTTGAATTATTTATTGTTAATGATAAAATTAAACTTATGGAATTAAATAAGAAAAACTTAATCGAGAAATAATTTCTTTTGGTTATTTAAAAGAATCTATTGAAATAATTGGATATGTATATCATATTTCAAATTATGTAAATTATATAGAAAAAGTTCAATTAAATTATGTAGATATTATTTAAACTTGATAATTTTAAGGAACATTTAGCTAATATACAAACATCGATTATTGAGCTCAAAGCCTGACATAATCATACAAATAAAAGACAAAAAAAGAAGAAAATCATATTCTTATAGAAATTACAATATTTAGATTATCCATCGAAATCAATAACGGAAAGATAATCCATTTTTTTCTTTTTCTTTTTCTTTATTCAACATTTAGAATTATGTCATGTTTATTATGATTTGATTAAAATAAAAACTCAAAGAAGATCCAATGGTCCCAATAAAATGCGTTTACATCATGAAGCATTTTCATCGTTTAATAAAGATCATAAGGTATATATGATTGCAGCGTAACAACTCGATATGAAAATGTTTGTTTTATTTTGATTAAAAAAAATGAAAATAGTTTTTATCAATTTTAAGTATTATTCCTCGTTCATATGTTTTATCATCATTAGAAGCTGATTTACAAGAAATTCAACAAAAAAGCAAATAATAAAGAAATAGAAGATGATATACATGAAACATGTTATTTATTTGAGAAATATGGTATTGTTTGTGTTAGTGTTACTGAATTGAAGCATTCTATGATTTCATTGAATGAATAATTTACAGAAGAAGAAGAAGACAAAGTTGATGAATTAACACGTAAACCTCATATTGATGCTGATGAATAATTTGTATCTAAGTAGCTAGAAGTTATTTCTTTGAATAATTTCATTCATTTTTTTCTCTTTCCATTTAGATGCAACTATGACGATCTTGTATGTATTTTAACAAATAAACAACACTAAAACGTGATCGATTTTTTGTCAATAATAAAAGGAACAAAAAATAATATACATACTGTCTCATAATAAGTACAGTTACTTTTCTGTGTAATCTCTATAATTCATACATTTCTCTTTTTTTTTTCCTTTTATTTCTTTTACTCCTTTTTATTCTTTTTTTATTTCTTTTATTTCTTTTTTATTTCTTTTATTTCTTTTTTATTCTTGTTTTTATTTCTTTTTTATTCTTGTTTCTATTTCTTCTTTATTCTTGTTTTTATTTCTTCTTTATTCTTGTTTTTATTTCTTTTTTATTCTTGTTTGTATTTCTTTTTTTTGCTTGTTCTTTGTCTCTCTTGCGCTGTGTGCATGTTAGATAATAAAAAAATATTGATTGTTTTTTTTAAATTTTATTGGATACTAAGAAAAACTACAGAAAACTGAAAGAAAAAGGAGTTGAGAAAAAATTGAAAGCGATAAATATGAAATAAGTGGAGTGAAGGGAAAAAGGAGGCTAGCTAAACATGGAAAAAGAAGCTTAAATCTAAACTTTGCTTGAATGATGTTCTTGGATTTTTCTTGATTAATAAAATGATACCAGGTTGAATTTGTGCTGTCTAGAAAGAAAAAAAATATTTATTGACTTTAGAGTAAAAATATTATGCATATTTAACTTACTGGATTATTTGGTG